CCGGTAAGAACAAAACAGCTGAAGAACACTTCTACTATGGAAACTAGGCTACAAGTGGTGGGCTTTAGCCTATATATAGGACCCCGAAATATACATAGATAGGGCAGGTTAGAGTTTGCTTATTTTGAATCTTTTTTGTACAGATTATTTCTATTTATAGTAATTAGTTTGCTTATTTTTGACTTTTTTTTTACAGATTTTCCTATACTTAGTAATTTTTGTAAAACCTTACCCCTCAGTATATATTTCAGAGTCTTCTATATATATCAACTGAAAGACTAGATCAGCTAGATTGTGGGTATGAAAGGCTTTAGCAGATTAGTTACAAGAATAAAGTAGTTCTAAAAGCCTTAGCGGCAGTTTCTCTTTAAAGAGAATATCCAACGATGCAAAGTTAATCAGAAGATTTAATTAGATAATCCAAATAATAGTAGATTATAGATACAGCATCTAGTATAGAACTTAGTAATAGGCAAACTATTTAAATTAAGCACTCAAAAGGCACAAATATAGCTAGAATGTATTTTCATTAATGTAACAAAGTTAGAAATAATCTATGTGATTGCTCTAGCATTTATAACTGAAGTTAATAAAACATGCCAGACCCCAAAATGGTCATCTTAATATCAAAAAAAAAAGTAGCTTATTTTTAGTCATATATGGTATATAAACAATAGAATTGTTATTAGTATTAGTTTATTATTAGTTATTATTATTATTATATTATTATAATCAACTCTTTTTAATGATCCTCTAGACAATAAAAACAAAAAACTAAACTACAAAAAATAATATAGGAATGTCAAGATAGATACTTCTCAGTTCTACTTTAAAGTAAAGCAGTTGTTGACAAAGTCTGAAGATATGAAATACTAAGAAGCAGAAATTTTTTTAACAGTTTTTTTGGTATTAATCTTTGCTGTTTCTAATAGATCTCCTAAGTTATTTAGCATCCAAACCAGAAAGATATTCTAGAAACTGTTTTTACCTTCATATAGGTTGTTGTCAATGAAGTTTAAGAGATATAATATACCAAGAAGCAGGTATAATTTGGACAGTTTTTCTTGAGGTCAAGTTTTTTTGCTAATTTGTTGAATAGACTTTCTAAGTTATTTGACATCCAAATTAGAAGGCCTATTCTAGAAACAAGTAGTAGTCAAAAGACTCTTGCTGAGATAGTTGAAGTTTGAAAAATTGTCTATATAACTATAAAACTTACAGAAGAACCTTATATACCTTTATTGTTCTTTCACTTTTTTTTAGAAAAAAAATTGTAAAAAAGTAAAAAAGATCGATATATTGTTTATTTATCAAAATAATCACATTGTTTACTTTTTATCTGTTATATATAATAAACATGTAAATATATATAGAACTGAACATGTAAATTACATACCTTAAATATGACAACCTGAACAAACAATGATTCAAGACCTCCAGTATAAATTTCTGACCTTTCTGACTTTTCTACAGTATCAATATTGAAGAAACTATTTTTTTTTACTTTGTTACAGAGTTTTTTTCTTACCTTAGATATGCTATGTATATAAATTAGATTAGAGACTAGTTTAAATAGTAGTATATAATTTTTATAGAGCTTGATACAAGCTTATAATTGTGATCATTTAATATATGTGAAAATCTTGTATTTGGTTTAATTTTTTTTCATTTTTCTCTTTTCTCACTCTTTTTTTGTTTGTATTTTTTTAATGTTATCCTCTATACCTTTGTGTTTTAAAAATTTTTCTTTTTTTTCCACTTGTCGACGAAAAAATATCATCAGATTGGTGGTATCCTATTGTAAATTGGTGGTCAAACAAGTCCTTCAGTTAGGATATTATCTTAATTGATCATATCTTGTCAGTGCGATAGGTTGTCTATAGATACTTAGATAGCCTTTGGTTATATTGTAGTAGCTGTAAAATGTTAAGGCTGTAGTTTTATTGTTTTAAATCTTTTATAAGATGATAATTTGAATAAACAAAGTTACTGATGCAATCTTGTCTAAGTGAAAAAATAATTTATTGTATTATTTTTATATTATATTAAATAGTAACAGATTAATAGGATCACTTGTATCAAACTTATAGCTAATAAAAACAGAAACTTGTTGAAAGAAGTAAAAAAAACAACAACAAATAATGGTTTTTACAGAAGTTAAGAATTTTCTAATTTTTTTTAAACTCTTTTGTATATTCAGCATACAAGTTAAAAGCATTTCTGTACAAAATAACTGGCAAAAAGATGACATCTTTAGACAGAAAATTTTAATAAAAGCACTGCTTCTGCTAATGAAGTTAAAGATAGTTAATCTAAGAAGGATAATAAGTAAGCTTTTAAAACTCTTTTTACTGAAGTTTAAGGCTATCTGCAAACTGAAACCCTCTTTTACATCTACTTTTGGCCTTTATAAAATTTTATCAAAAAATAAAAAATATGATATAACTTTATTAAAAGATCAATAACAATGATTGTTGCCAAAAAAGAAAAAATATATATATGTATATGTCGTACCCCAGATTGGAATCCACCTGATTCAGAATCCAGCTGTCTCAATTCAGAATCGGGGTAGCCAGATTTAGAATTCTTATACGGGGTACCCGGTTCAATAATTAGTAAGGTTAGGATTAGGGTTAGAATATTAGTATAGTGAGCTGGGTACCCCGTATAAGAATTCTAAATCCGGCCGTCCTGATTCTGAATCGGGGCAGCTGGATTCCGAATCGGGCGAATTTCAAATCCAGGTACAACATATATATATACTTTAAGTTAATAGTGTTAAATATTTTTAAACGATCACTTGGTCAACAACAAACTACTGAACTACAGTCAGTGATATAGAAAAGCAACATAGTGAATACAACAATATTCTTGGTTTTGTGCTAAGCAAACATGTTGTTGACGAAGCCTACAATATGTGAAATATTGAGGAGCAGGCGTATAAGAATATTAGGCAGTTTGTGCCTTGGTCAAGTTTTTCTTTCTTCGACAGACTCATTAGCATATTCGGTATCCAAACTAGAAGGTTTATTCTAGAAACAAGTAAAGCAAAAGTCTTTGAGCAGGAATATCGAGTAGATACTAAGAAACTAGACTATACAACTATAAAACTTACAAGAAGAACCTCACATATTCTCGTTGACTCTCTACTTATTTTTTCAGGAAAAATTTTGTAAAAAAATAAGCAATTTAGCTTATTTCCTCCAAAAGTTTGACATATTGTTTACTTACTAAATCGGTCACATTGTTTACGTTTTTACCTGTTATAACAAACATATAAATCTTATACAAGACCAGAATGTGTGATGGTTATGCATATTATTGATCACACATCTGAAATATACAAAATTCTTTAAAATTCGTTGATGCATAGATTAGGGGTTATCTATAATTTATATAAAGAAATGTAGTAAAGATCTGCAAAAATATAAAAAAAATAACAAAATCGATGATATATTGTAACTCAGTGATCCAATTTTAATGATTTTGATATCATTTGAACCATCTCATTGAGATGAATCGAATGGTATTAAAACCATTAAATTTGAATTACTAGATCACGAAATAATTACATTTAACTAAAATTGCAAAATATCTAATTATCTCAGTAACTAATGATCCAAATTTAATGATTTTGGTATTATTCGATTTGTCTTGATGAAATGATTCTAATGGTATTAAAAACGTTAAATTTGGATCACTAGATTATGAGATAATTACAAAAAAACTATTTATAGTGCAGTTTTTTAAATTTTTGTATTTTAGTACGTTGTAAATAGTTTTTATTAATGGGTATCTGTTAGCCTTCTGTACTAAATTTAGTACAATTTTAAAAAAATTATAACTCAATGACAATATAATTAATTTTATTTATATTTTGCTAGAATATAAGTTAAAACTCAAATAATAAATAGACGAAAAATTAATTAGTATTTATATACAAAATTTTGTATAAATTAAATTTGAGCATAAAAAATTTTTGGCTTTTTTTGTTGTACTAAATTTAGTACAGTAAATTTTTTTAAATATTTTACAAACGTATATAATAACAATTAAAAAAATTTAATCGCAAAATAGGTCAAGATTATATCTTTATTTTCATATAGTTTTAGAAACTTAAAATATGTTTGCTAAAACAATTAATACATACAGCTTTTGCAGTATTGCAAGTACAATGGTATCTTGTTCGTATACTACAGTATTTACATCGTAATTGTGGATAAATTGTTTTATCATCTTTTTTTTTTTTAGCAAATGCAACTAAATTATGTTGTAATTCTGATGTTTTTACTCGCTTTTTACCTTTTAAATTTTCACCTATACTATAATGTCTACTAAGCATTTCATCTGCTAATCGCCTTCTAAAGTCAAAATGTGAAAGATTATATGCTTCTTTATGACATTTTTGTATGTAATAAAAGCATTAGCCTCTGCAATTCCTAATAAAAAAGAAAATATCTGCATTTGCCAACTTGATTCTTGCATTACATCATGAAATGATATCATATTATCTCGAATCTAATAATATAATAAAATTATATAAGAATACTATATATATATATATATATATATTATATAAAACATACATACTTGATTATTAATATCAACTACTCCTTTTGCTTGTAAATATTTATAAAACACTTTCGGTCTTGTAAATTCAACGATTTCTGAACCAGTATTATTTTTAACTACACATTTAACTTGATCTGCATTAATAGTTGTTGATGTTGTAGCAATTATACATTGGGGTTTTCTATCTCGTAAAGAAGCTGCTATTAATCGAATGTTATTAAAAGTTGTAACTTTTGATATATATGATCCGTATGTACTATTAAGTTTATGAACCATATCATCAGAATAATTAATAGGCCATGTGCGCCTTTTTTTACATGAAAAATGCCATACAATCTATTTTCCATTAATAATATACAAAGTTTAGGAAAGCCAAACCAGCTATCACCTACTATTGTTTGTCCACTGCCAAACCATGGCTGTGTTAATCATAATACATATGCTGCAGTACTACCATATTCTGAAGCATAGCATTTATTTTTTTCTATTGCTTTGTCTTCACAAGACTCCAATTGAATTACTATATTTGTAAGTCCATCAGCAAGGACTTTCCATTCTTGTCCTACAGGATGTGGTTTACGTGGTATTTTGCATAATCCTGGAATCTTATTTTTTGTGCCTAGCCAGGAGTTTATAGATTTATCAATATACAATACACTTCTGGGAATTATAGCCTCAATTAAATTGGTGTTAAAGGCATTAGTAAAACTATGAACTGAAAATAAAGGATCATTATAAGATGTTATTTCTAATTCGTGTAGCATCATTAAAGTATGTTGTGACACTATTTGTTCAAAGCATAAAAGACTCATCCAATGTTAAAAATTAAATGGCATTAATGGTTGAGTAGTTTCTTGTGTTCTTCAATAATAACGACGGTCACTTACAGAAACAATAGACATTAATATCCAAAGTCCTAACCATGTTATATATTCATTGAGATTTATATCGATCCAATTTAAAATACTATTTCTTCCAAGTAAATTAATAGAACGAATAATATTTTGTTCAATATAATTCATAGGAAGATACTGACTAAATATAGTAAGAGGTGAAGCTAAACTAACTGATGGAAGATTAATTTGATATGACTGTTTGTATGTTGAATAAATTGCCCGTTGATAAATAGTAATTGGTTGTTCTTTCCATATAGATGTTGTAGTAAGATCCACCTCACTAATATTGCTAGCATCACTAGCATAGTCTTCTTCTTCTGAACTACTTTAACTAAACTCTAA